ATTCATGGTTGATATTTGAGTGTTGTATATGCGTTTGGCTTATTTTGATTTCTCTCTCAAAAAGTCTAAAGATGTAATCAAAATGTGCGTGTACGAAACTAAGTTGCATGAATAAATGCTAATTGTAAAGACATGTAAAATTGCATAAAAGTCAAGTAAATGGTTTCGAATTATAAAACAGTTAATGTAAAGGATTTCTGGAACGTAAAAGGTTTGAAATATGAAGAAAGCGTTTAATGCAAGAAATCTGTAAATGACTTTAAGTAAAATATGCGTTCGAAGGATAAGACTTGAAGGTAAAGGTATGGAAAATATGACAATTTTCTGAGATGTAAAGTGCTTGAAATGTGAAGAAAGCATTAAAATGTAAAACTTTGAAGAAGAGATTTCGAAGTGAAAAGACTGTAAATGAGAAAACTTGTAAATGTTATTTGACAAAAAGATAAAGGAAAGTGCTGGAAATGGTAAAAGGTTTTCATTAAATCAGAAATACATGGTGCTATCATACGTACATTTCTCTTGCATTCGTTTCCCTTGCCATGTGGTAATTTGAATGTTACTGAGTATTTAGTATAATAGATATGACACACGAAATCCTAATACTAAGACTTCTATTTATACTAATTCGACCATAACGGTCTTGCTATAGGATTATGCCACGTTCAGAACATGCAGGACAATGCCTCTTTCTTCTTTCCACGTGTCCCCAAATGCTCCAGCACATAACTTTCAAACTTCGAATGTCCCGCTTCCATTTGAATTTCAAATGCTTTGGTACTTCTCCGTTTCGAACGCACTTCCCAGACACAGCCTTGTTGTTATTTCGAGACTTCTTTAGATATGTTCCCATAATTGCCACTCGAAGCTCCAAGCTTTGACATACTTATTCGAAATACTGCTTATGCTACTTCGAAACATGACGCTTTACCTCATTTCGATCGAAACGTTTAATTCATTTGGCTTCTAATAACATTATCAAAATCTTCAGCCAACAATGGGAGGGCAAATTTTGGGGTACAACACCACCCAAGCACTCTGGTGGTTTCATTCTGAAGAATGCACGAAAATCTGGCCCTGCTTCAGCTTGTGGAGTAGGAGTAAGAGCGGTTGGTTGTTGCCCTTGCATACCCTGCATCATCTGCATCTTTAATTGATTCCGTTGTTGCATATGGTGCATCATCTATAGCCAAGGTACATCTGCATTTACAGCTTCAACCTTAGACTCCACAGTCCTAGTCCTAGGCCTTCTGGGACCTCTGCGTCCATCAACCATCTTCATGTTTGTCCTACGCACAGAATTAAGTTGATCGGGCTTAATGCCATAAGTAAGACATAAGGAATCATGCCGATAATTTCATATATGAGGCAGAATTTGAACTGCCTTATGATGTTTCATGGAAAAGCCGAGAATCGATCTGCTCTGATACCAATTGTAACACCCCACACATATATGCCTAGGATAATATGCGCATGGTATTATAAAAGGTACACGAATATCATACATAAGTAGCGAAACTGGATAAGTATCAATATAGAGATACAAAAGTCGGAGGTATCATGGCTAAAAGATACAAATCCCAATAAGTACTAATACATAATCCAAAATACATAAGATGAAAGATCCAAAAGAAACGATAAAGCATCGCCAGGAAACATCACAGAAAGCTAAGTCATCCTACCTTTTCCTTTGTCCTTCCTCAAACAACTTGTAAAATAATAATTGGAATGGGGTGAGACTACTAAATTTCAGTGAGTCTCCCTATCTTAAGGGTTCACTCGGTTCTATAAGGTTCATGCATCAAACAGGGTCCACCGTGGATCTGGGGTTTTCTCACGGTCTGGTACAAACATACACAAATAGGTAGCATCTTCGTAATAAGTCCCTTGAATAACCAATGAGATTACATCAAGCACACAACCAAACACAAACAAGTATGAAAACTTGTATTTGTGTACGAGGAATCCAGAAGTAAGTTCTCTTCCTGCTACCTAGGCCACACATTCACACCCTCGGTGAGTAATCCAAGTGCATAATCATCAAGAGACTTGCACAAGCACACTGCACAATGAAACAGGTGAGTCAAAAGTGATTGACGCCTATTTGGCTACACAATCCCATCTATGATAGGTTAATAAAGTGACATTGTCTATGTGACGTTACAAACCCATAAATCATCAATATGAAGGTGAGTTATCCTCAAGTGCAAAAACGCCTACATGATCGCACAAGCCCACCGGAAGAAAGCCTAGTGGTGTTGCCTACATGGCACCATTAGAGGTGAGTCCAAAGTGATATTGCCTACGTGCATCACAACTCCACCATACCAAGCATGCCGATGAGTTATCGTCATGTGGGGAAACGCCCTTTAAGACCCCCCACAAACATATTGCAATGGTAGCTCAGGTGTGTATGACGTACCGAAAACGTAGATGCGTTATCGTTAAATGGAGTTTTCCCTATAGACCCTCACAAGCACTTCACAACGGTAAATAAAGTGGTCATGCAGTCTATGTCATATGTGATTTACCACCTAGTAGTGTAGGTCTACTTCGATTCGAGCATACATTGAAATCATAATACGTATCAAGCCACACAGGCAAATTTCTTTGAACGTTCAACCAAAATGAACGGGAAAACAACAAATGATCACATCATGGCATTTATCATATAATGAATTTTCAACATAATACATGTATTAAGCATACATATCCATAACATTAGCATTTAAGTGGTTGTAGATGGTAATATACATTCCCCAACACGACTCTATAGTCACAGAATGAAGGAGTTATAAATAGAATGAGATGATGATGAATCAAGAGAATGAGATGGATTCTTGAAGTATGCAAGGAAGAAGAAAGATAGAGTTTGAAGATGGAACTTCTTATTTTCCTCTCTTTCACGTTCTATTTCTCTTCCTCTCTACAAAATCTGATTTTATTTTCAAAGTGAGAATGAAACAACACCAAACAACCCATAACTTGTCATTTAATGGGCGAAGATACCGAAATACCACTTTACTACTCATTTGGGCTATTTATTCATAATAACACTAGATAATAGATTTAGCATAATTATCCTCTAATAAACTTCACCAAATGATTAGTAATAGTCATTAGGAAGTAATTATACCGGGTATTACATGTAACAACTCTGGCCTATAAAAAAATATTTAAGTTATGTGTGAAGCTCAATAAAGAGAATGAGAAATTAGAAATAAGCGTCGTGAAGTTTAAAGATTATATTGATTTTCTTGAAAATTGTAATAATATTCTTGAGGAAGAAATAACTAAAATTAAAAATCAATGTTTCCAATCGGATAAATGTGAAACATGTTTTTAGTTAAACAAAGAAGTAGATGAATTGCATTAAACCTTAAAAGGAAAGTTTACTAAGGCTAAATATGAATTAGTTTTTTTTTTTAATTAAAGAAAATACTTTATTGATAGATTCAAATAACAATCTAAGCACAAGCGATCAAAAAATCCAATAGACACAAAAACTAGAGAACCAAAACCAAGAACTAGATACACAAACTGGCATAAGAAGTTTCCCTATATGGTGTCTCAACTCGGGTTTAGTCCAACACCTGTAAACAATGTTATCAACTATTTTTGGCCCAATTGTATTACTATTGGGATATGATATCAAGCAAATGAATCTTTCATTATCATTTATCATGATAGGAAGAAATCTAATCGCTCTATGTTCAAATACAAGTATTATAATAAGCTTGGTCAACTAGAAGCTTTTTGTCATGCTAAATTACATGATTTAAAATATTTTTTAAAACCTATATAAAATTAAAATCTATGTATTAATTATAGTCAAAATATATTATTTATTTATAAAAAAAATCATTTAGTAAAAACACATTTCTGAATAGCAATTGAGTACAAAATTATTATTTTTACATTCCGGAAAATCATACATGAAAATATTCTTTAAAACCTATAAAATTAAAATATATGTATTTATTAAAATCAAAATATGTTATTTATTAGTAAAAAATGTTATTTAGTAAAAACATAATCGAAAAAATATATTTAAATACTTATACTTTAGGTGATTTAATTATCAATTTGAACGTAATTAATATTTTTATTATATTATATTTTCAATAACCAAATACATGAAAATGATTAATCATTTTATTATAAAATTAATACAAACATGTAAGGCCTGCTTCATTTGGTTTTGTAAAATTATTTTTTAATTTTTAAAATGTGAAAATCATAAAACTTTTTGGTAGTCTAGTTTTACAAAATTATTTTTGAAAACTATTATCTATTTTAGAGTTTCAAAAATTAAAAAAATAAAATAGGATCGGGAGGTTTTTGGTTTTAGTTTTTAGTTTTGGAAAAGAAAAGTTATATATATATATATATATATATATATATATATATATATATATATATATATATATATATATATATATATATATATATATATATATATATATATATATATATATATATATATATATATATATATATATATATATATATATATATATATATATATATATATATATATATATATATATATATATATATATATATATATATATATATATATATATATATATATATATATATATATATATATATATATATATATATATATATATATATACTTTTCATAAATGGAAAATTTGTAATATTATTCAACTTTAAAATGACTTTCTATAATTAAATTACTAAATATTCTTTATTTTTCAAAACAATTTTTTATAAATCTTTTTGCAAAATAATTTTTAAAAACTAAAACCCATTCAAATGGGCCCGTAGATTTAATTATGTACTTACTATTTATTTAATTACATTTTAGTCAAACTAGTTTTTTTTTTAATTTTAAAACTATATATATAATATATAATAGTTTATTAGTTACATTTTTAAAAGTACTTTATACCAACTATTATAAATAAAGCTTGGTATTGCCCTCTAAATTATCTACATATACTAGTTCTAACTACAAGCTATCTTCCATTGTGAATATGGATGCCCAAAAATATTCAGCTGTGAAATTTGGAATCTTATTGATTTTCATTATCATTGCATCAGGTCATAAATGATACTCTACTCTTAATCTCTTCCAATTTTTAAATGAATGTATCAATTAGAAAAATATTACAATAAATATGATATAATATTTAATGATGGTCATATATTGTTTATATGCATGTAGATATGTGTACGATATCAGATGCAAGAGGTCCTATTGTCTCATTTCGCTGTCAGCATGATGAAACTTGTGAAATTCGTTATCCAAATCATGGTTGCAAATGTGTTCAATCTTTGTGCAATTGTCCAGGAGATCCTCCAAAATTAACCAACAATGGTAACACTCTATTACCATCTGAGTCTACTACCTAGATAATGTGATAGATTTGTAAAGAATAAAAGTGATGGTAATACCGGATTGTATATGATTATTATGGTATGAATAAAATTTATGCGTTTATTAATCAACTATCAATATAATATAAGAATTAGTAAAAAATTCGTGATATTGCACAAATTCTATCTGAATATATATTATACATATATTAAATTATCATTTGTAAATTTTGTGTGTATATTCAGTTATTTAACATCCACATATATTTAAATATAAGGCAATAATATGTACCAACTTTTAAACATTGATCCATAATTATAATAAATCATATAATTGATTTTCTAACTTCAATAATATAAAACATTATGAAAAGAAAAGAAAGATTTAAAAGATAAAAACTAAAATGATTTGTCTACGACTAATATCTCATAGATACGTTCACATCTATTCGTAGATATATGTCTGCAAGGTCTTTCATTACGATGAACAATCTACATCGATTAAATTGATAAATAAAAAGAACGCTTAGATTAATATATCTTCATTACAATTAACATTTATATAGTTACAAACATAGTAAGCATATCTCACTCTCATTTGTCAAATTTATATATATTTATTCAGTTGATTAACATTAATATAGTTACAAACATAATAAACGTCTTGAACTCAATAAGTTAAACGTTTTCTATTTATAAAAATATTTGTAACTGATTCTCGTTTAAAAAAATTATTGTAATTTATTTCCTTATATAAAAATATTTATATCAATATGTAGATTTTTTTCCTATTTATAAGGGCTTTGAATTTTTGTGACAATTTATAAAGCAATTTTTAATTAATTCATATTAAAAATAATTGTTTTAGTACTTCAACTTTTCTCTTTTATAAAAATATTTGTAACTTATTTCTTTTAATAAAAATAATAATAACTTATTTATTTTTATAAAAATTATTGTAATTTATTCCTGTTTATAAAATTATTGTAAATTTTTTCTCGTTTATAAACACCGTGAACTCGTGTGCTCATTTATAAAAATATTTGTAACTTATTCTCATTTATACAAAAAAATTGTATAAATAGTTGAATTTATTCTGTTTATAAACCATTTGTAATTTATTCTCGTCAATAAAAACAATTATAACTTATTCCATTTATAAAAATGATTATATTAATAATTTTTTATCTTTTATCATTAATTTTTTATTAAATATATATTTTTAAAAGGAAATTAATCTAAAATTAAAATTGTTAGATTAATTATTAAAACTGTTTGATTTTAAAAAGTCTATAGGCTTAATAAAAACATATTATCACATGCATAATAAAAAAACATTGAAATTTTATTTATGTTAATTTTTATTTATTGATTTATATTCTTACCTTAAAATTAGTTTTATATTAATAAATTTGAAACATTATTTTTCACTATTTGTTTATAAATAATAATCATCTTATCTAAATGTTTCAGATAAACTTTTGTCAAATTGATAATAATTTTGTAAACTAAATTAATCATTCTTTCTTCTTAAAATCATCAATATTTATTATTAACTTTTTCTTCACTATATCTTATTCTTCATCAAATTAAAAATTTTAAAATTGAAATAACTTGAAAAAGTAAAATTCAGATAAACATATTAAATTCTAACATTATGTAATTTATTCTTTATTATTTTATTTTTTTCAATTATTATTTCTCAATCTCTTTTGAAACTCTAGAATGTAAATCATCTAAACAAATTATTTACAAAAAAAGAAATACTCTCTTTGACTTTCAAAATTATAAAATTAAAAAATAAATAATAATTATGAGGAATTATTTAGTTTTCAATTCATTAATAATTATTTCATTCAGTAATAAAATTTAGTAAAGTCTACGTTAAATGATAATTTGACCATTATTATTATAATTATTATTTAATTGTCTTTAAGATCTAAGAAAATAAAAAAAATTGAATTGAAAGCTAAAAAATTGGATTCTCAATATCTGCATTAAAAAATTGGATTCTCAATATCTGCATTAAAAATTGTATTAAGCACCGAAAAATTGAATTTACATTGAAAAGTGAAAAGATGAGTTTTAATAATATGGAAATTTGCATTTTTATTGTTTCAAAAATGCTATACTATTAATATAGGACAACTAAAAGTTAGAGAAAACAAATAAAACGATCACTCGTATTTGTTTGGTACTGATCTTTTATTCTATTATTACATGAAAATAACTAAGACAAACTTATATGGAAAATATAAAGTTAACAATTTTTTTTATCTTTTAAGTTTCCATATCTAAACATTCAAAAGCAAGAATCAACATTTCGTATTTGATCACCATTCAACTCCACTCTTAACTGCCATTCAAGCAATATAAAATTACAAAACCAATAAAAAAAAGTTATACATGATATGAACAGTTATAGCAAAATATACGTAGCCACAATTTGTTTATATTTGAGTCAGATATTTTATATATTGGAGTTAATTTTTGGAGTTAAATATCATTTGAATATGTAATTGATGCTTCTAAATCTATAAAACAAAGCATAACATTAGTATATACACTACAAGAAATAGTGTCTCATGATTATCACGTGACAAAAAATTACTTGTTGCGATGTGATAATCACGTCACTACATTTTTCAATGTTAAATATAATAACTGTTAATTTATGAGGTGGGAATTTACTTTTTTTATTAAAAATTAGTTACGGCGTGTTTATCACGTCGTAAATTTTAAATTAAAAATAAATAAATAAAAAAGGACTGACGCTCAAAAGGAGGAAAATTTTAAATTTTTATATAACTGATTGCGACGTGGAAAACATGTCGCAAAAATTTAATTGAAACAAAATTTGACTTTGAATAGATGTGGCGCAGGTTGTGTAATAATTATTTCTGACTGTTGGGTGTTGCGGTGTGATTATCACGTAGCAAAGTTACGATGTGATAATCACGTCGCTGATTGGCGCATTATTTAATTGATCGTTGAGGGTTACGACGTGAATATCACGTAGCAAAGTTGCGACATGATATTCACGTCGCTAATGTCCATATATACTTGCGCGCATCCCACTATTCACAGAAACATCATTGTTTTGATTCTGCAATTTCTATCTTCCCTTGTCAAACCATTCTTCCTTCATCTCCCACTCTCCATTAATCTTTCAATTCCAAATTTTTGTATCAGATATAATTTTTTATTTTTTCATATTTTTTAATTTAATTTAATAATTATATTTAATATTTATAATTAATCTGATTTGGTTAAAATTTTGTTTTTTTGGTCAAAGATTAAGCAATATTGAAGAGATTCATTGGTAGTAGATTGAACAATATTGACAATGATTGAAGGAGATTGAAGAAAAGGTATTTTAGTTGTTTAATTTTTTTTCTGAAACTTTTATTGGGTTATTATATTTTTATTTTTATTGTTGTTATATATATTTTTAAAATAGATATATAATATATATTTTGATTAAAAGTAAAAATAAAATAAAATTATATATATATATATATATATATATATATATATATATATATATATATATATATATATATATATATATATATATATATATATATATATATATATATATTTGTTGTTGTTATATATATTTTTAAAATAGATATATAATATATATTTTGAGAAAACAGCAAAAAAAATCTTTATTTATTTATTTAAAACAAAATATATATATATAATATAGTTTAAAAACAGAAATATAATATATATTTTTTTAAATAGAAAAATAATTTATAATAGAAAAACAGAAAATATTATATATGTATAT